ACGTACATCTCCAAACTCCTGTCAGTAAACGAGTCAGAACGAAAAGAAGGAACTTCGAGTCAACTGCAATTCCCAGAAAGTATAAAAAGCCGCTGATTTTAAATGCTGAATATTGTTCAATTCGAAGCAAAATACATGAAATTTTCACTCATCAGCTTCGAGGTTTAATTGTGTGTTAATTGGGCAAAAATGAAGTCTAGTTTTGTACTATTCAAAAATTCATTCAGACTAAAAGTTATTTCAGCGATTAGTTCACGCCGAGAACCAGTGAGAACTTTCTGTTAATTCGTGAGATTTTGGTGAAATGTATTTTCTACGTAGACTGTTAAGAATTGGGAATTTAACGTAGTCGAATTCAAATCGAATCAAAGCTCGGCTCGCTTAGAAATTGACATACGAATGCCACTCCGATGTACCAGTAATCGTCTCTAATACTCATTTACTGTCTTTTTGAGCAGTTCGCACAATTAAAAGGCCTGCTGAGTACTACTGGATTAGCCATGTCTCGGCATGTCACAAAATTTGCAAGTATATGTAGGTTATATATCGCAAGCTAAGCGTAACGTTGAACATGGTTCCTAGACCAAACGGATTAGCGCGTCAACCGTGACACTCTGACAATCTTTGCTCTACAATCTGAATGCAGACGTCACGCATGGTCGTGTTCAGCGTGTTTTATCGATGAAATGCCCCAAGAACTTATTCCTTCTGCTTTTTTTACACCTTAGAGGTAAACGAGCATGCATATTGGTTTGTATTTTTACATTTCTGTAGTTTATTTTGAGGTAAACAAGGTGTAAACAAGTGAATAAATTCTTTCCCGCCAAAAAAAACTCGACCTTCAACCCAGATTTCCAGCGGTGCTCTTCCGGGAGACTGGGCATGAAATGCAATGTTTACATCGTGTCTGTTTCAAATAAGTTTAATATTTTTGACACATTGAACGGGTGTTCCATACAGCAGTTATCCGGGATTCGAGAATTTGTTTCGGGAAAGCGTGTTTGGATTGTCAAGTTATGCTCCCAGGAATCGAGGAGGAAGCGAAACGTTTTTATAGCGAGCTAGACATAGAAGTGCCTGTCGTCCGTAATCCGTTCATTCATAGTGAGCAAATCACAAGTTGGACGAAGAAATTTGAGGTGCGTAGAAAAATACAGTTCGTTACCTTAATTTCTTCAATTATTGCAAATTAACTCTTTTCTTTATGCTTGCAAGCTCGCCATATGACAATGGTACCGTAGATCTTATCTGAAAGAAGAGGGACGAAATCAGCGTTTATATTTCGGTGTATACCCAGACGCTTCCCCCCTGAAGCGAGAACCCATTCGTTTGGTTAAGCGTTATTTGTTTCTGCAATTAGCAAGCATTTATTAGCGATGTTTTCAGTATTTGGTAAGTTTATTTGATCTTTCGAGCTGGTGTTATTACAAGTAGTATTCGTTTGCGATGCGCATATATATCTCTGAAGATGACATGTATGGTGTTTCGTCAAATGAATCGACTTTCCCCACAAGCGTTCTACAGTTGTATTAATGTTTAACAATTTTAACACGTAAGTTGCAAATTTCACAGCTGCTTATGCACACTCAACGATCTAAACAGCTGAAAAACCGTTCGATTCGAGGTACACATCTACAAAACGTACAAGACAATACCTGTCAATTATTAAAGTAAACGAATTTTAATGATGCTATCCAGAAAGTCAAATTTACGTATTTTGTAATATTCATCTTTTCCTTGTGCGGACGATTCTGTTTCCATTTTGCACAAACATTTCAAAATTACACAATAAATGTAAAGTATAATTTTGAAATATTATTTTATTATAGTGTTCAACATTTTATTTCAATGTTTTTGTAATATCCATCTTGCAAAAAATTTTGGACAGTGATTTGAAAAAAACTTGTGGTTGTCAAAGTCAGTTACTTATAATATTCATGGACCATTTGCATTTTCTGATATAACTTTTGAGACCCCCTCCTATCTCTCAAGGGCTTAGCTAGGAGGGGGGGGGGGTCTTGGGATGCCTGTGACCCCCCTCTTTGTAAGCCTTTTTTAAACAAACAACCTACAACAGGTGGTGAGTTCATCTGGTGAGTACCCTCACATTGACCCAGTGTGAAAATCCTTTGAAAAATCCAGGTTACGCCCCTGTCTCTTCCCTTATCTTGAAGTCCTGTCCACACTAATGTACTTTTGTTTCAAAGTACATTCTTCCTGAGACACTTCTGTCTACTGTCCACACTAAAACAGTCCTAAATGCACGCTGTGAATGCTGTTTATAGGGAAGACATCTGAAAACAGAGCTCTATCATATTATTATGCACAGCAAAAACAGACAAGAGGCTTTAGAAAACACTGATGTCATTTGGTATTTTCTGATAGCATATCATTGTTTATTCAGCATTTTCAGGTGGACAGGGAAAAACATTACAAAATGGTAATATAACTAGAGAGTTGACGGGGAGCAGTTTCGGTGAAAATGCATCATTAAAATTGCATTGCTTTGAAAACATGTTAGTGTGGATAGGACCTGAATCTGGCAGAAATATAAGAATGGTTTGTGTTAATTCAGGAGTTTAAAGACACAGAGAGAAGTTTCAGTCTTTTTGCAGATCACAGTCTCCTGTCTGCATGTTTCGAGATATTAGAAGCAGGCAAATCCAGTTTTGAAGTGACTCTGGAGTACAATGTTTCTAAAACCAGAAAATATAGGCAAGGTGCTTACAATACCTACTAATCAGATGGTATTTAAAATCTATTTAATTTCTGATTTGGTAAAAAGAAATCAGCCCATGTACAGTGGCAAGATTGTTTAAATCTTTGAATCAGTTACTGACTACTTCTAACAAATATGTTTTATTTATTTTTACAGATTTTTGTGGGCTTTATTGTTCTTTTTCCAATCCGCCTATTAGCTACTATTTTGGTGTTTCTCTTTGCGGGGCTATGGTGTTTCATTACCATTGTTGGGTGGAATCCACCAGACTTGAGGACTCCATTATCGCCATGGAGAAGGTAAAAAGAAAATTGTATTATTACTCACGAGACTGGGTTTAACTATTTAATATAAACATGTGATACATGTAGATTTTCTTTAAAATAGTTTTATTTTTTATTGCTCTGTTTAAATTCTGATGTCGCTCTATTATTAATATAGAAACAATAGCGTCCATTTGGTGCAAAAAATTAATATGCTTGGACATTTGTCCACGGACATTAACTGTTCCAAGAAGCAAACAATTTTCTGAGAGGGATTAGCTTGAGGAAAACCGTGAACTTCAAGGAACAGGTCAATGTACAAGGACAAATTTACGAGCATATTTTTAAAGTCAAATTAGCGCATGCTATTGTGTTTATTATCCATCATATTTTGTGCAAAATGAAAATTGGGGAATATCACTCAGATATTCCTGTGTTTTAGCTAGCGCATGATCTTGTCATATGCATGTGACGCACTTTGACCAATTGTATGCAAGCGAAAATATTTGATGGATTATAAATAGCTCTAGGCAAATTTGCTGTCCTGTCCAGGGTGCCAAGAAAATCATGAGTTTTTGAGCTTGCCTTTTGGGTAAGCTGTATCTAGAATATACTAAGTCAACAGTCTTTTTCACTAGCCCAAAAAAAATTCCCACCAGCAATACTACAGTAGTTAATTGAAATTGAAAATTCAAGTAGTTATTCTGTCGTTTTGAATTTTCTTAAAGTTTACACCAAAAAAATCAACTGCCTTGTCTATTGGGCAAGATAAGTACATGTATAGAATGCATTAAGCCCAACCACAAACTCCACTAGCCTTTAGACTGCTAGTTAGTCTCTATTTTGCTTGAAAGTTTTGGGAAAGAACGCAAAACACTGAATGAATGATCAGAGGCAAGCAGCGAAACTCTCAGCTGCAAGTAGCAATGATGAGTACCTGTGGCTCATTTAGTGGCGTCCTGCTCAATCAGTTTTTATGTTGGTCTCTTGTAGAGAGACTGCAGAGAGATTACTCACAGTTAGTAGTAGACTTCTTTGCATGCTGAATGTCATTTACTCTTCTCCAGGTGGATGAAAGACTGTCTTCCTTT